TACAACTTGCTGAAAATAGTTTGAAGCAAATCGAAACGTACAAGGAAATTTTTGTATTAACATTGTAATACAATATATTATGTGAATTAGTTGAAATTTTTGTTATAATTGCGCACTAATTTCCGCACTGTATTGATGCTCTCATTGCTCATATATTTTTTCATTATTGTGTAAAATAATATAATTTCATTGGTAAAGCAGTTAAAAATTACTAGGAATTGGCCGATGTGAGTGATGTGTGCAATTGACTGTGTGAAAGTCTATTCAGCCGATAAAGGCAAAAACAACTGAACATCATACTTATAGTGATTTTGTAAATCAATTTGTTTTTAATGTAAAAAAAAACGGATTTTCGCATAGACGTAATACGTCACTTCCTCCTCTTCTCCAGCTATGATAACAATTGTCATCTCGACTTGAAACTTCTTTGTAATTACTATAGGATACTCATTATATTATAGGATATCATTTAGCACACAGTTCAGTCCAAAAATTGATGGCAAAAACGGGCAAAAAAGACCATCTCTTTGCATACTTGGCTTGTATTATTTTCTCTATAATTTTCATTGTTTTTAATTTTAAAATTATTTGAGCCTTTTTACTACTTGAATTTAATCAAGTAGGCTTTTACTTAACTAAAATAATCTGTTAAAAATTAATATGTGTATAATTACGACTAATGTAATTAATTATTGAAATAAATCAAGTAGTGAAAATGAAAATGACACTCATTAATCGTTAATTTTCAGTCATATTTCAAAAATTATTTAATGTGATTTTTATGAATTATTATTAAAGAATATGTTGGTCATATTGAAAATATATTCAAATCGATATTGGTCAATAAATAATTTTATGTTTTTACGTAAGTTAGGAGAGAAATTGCACATATTATTCATTATACGTTTAGTTTATGTTATAGTTAAAAACCAAATAATGATTAATGAATAACGATAATTTTTAAATTAATAATAGTTAACGATTTTTACTCAATCAATCGAATTAATCACAATTACATTCATTTATTTTGATCGGTTAATTTTACTGTTTAATTGATTCATATCTAAGATTTATTTCGAGACAACTAAAAACTTTTAATCATTTATTATAATCAAAAATTAAATTTTTAGTTATTAATTGTTAATTAATGAAATTTTTTTCAGAGGCATATAATAAATAATAATAATAATCACAATAAACAATGTATGTAGGAAGAATGTCTATTTTAGGCGACGATAACAATATCAAATAAAAAATAGATCAAGAAGGCTTTAATACAAATAAATAAAGAATATGATAGTCGATCAAGGTTGGTATTATCTAATAATATTTTTGTGTAAATTTTAAAATTAAAAAAAAAATAATTTTAATATCGCGTATCAATAAGAAAGATTTACTTAAAAAAAACGCATCATCGGTCAATTTTGGATGTCTGTCACCTTCGTACCACTCGCTCTTCGAAACCATGCGACGGAATGTAGAATAAAAAATGACGATATTTAATTCAATCAATCCGAGTTCGGAAAAAACTGCAGATAGGAGAACTCTGACGTGAGAAACGTGTGACGTCCCTGCGGGTACGCGCCGCCGGAATTATTAAATAGCCAACGATACCACGTACAGAATTATTAAATGGCGAAACTCTATTCCATAGCGTAATTCTATTCCGGGCATAAAGAAAAGATACAGAGAGAGACCTAAAGGACGTCGGCGGATGCGCCCAATGGCTGGCAGAGAGCGGGCGATAATTGCATTGCTAATAGCACGATGGCGGGATGGGCGGGGACTTGCACAGTTTATCGCACTTTATTGCTTTACCATGAGCGCTGTGTCCTCTGGGCATTCTCCGATGGCGCGTATGCAGTTCGCCCCGTACTGTCCTGAAGCTTAACGCTCAATGTGCAAAGACGATAACGGCATAACACGCATGGAGACATAATGTAGATATTAGATAAACGTGCGCCACCGCGTTTTATGGTTATCACTGCCGCGATTTATTGCTCTTAATGTTGAATACGGTATATGCCGTAACTTTCTTCTTTGACTCCGTTAATGAGTTATCTCTCTCTTCTATGATTTATTACAAAGTGTGGAAGAAGAGAAATTACATCCCGAATGATATTCCGAAACAAAATGTATGCAACAGAAAGTGTACTGTTGAATATTTAAGAAAGCAATGGTAACCCAATCCGTTGAATTAAAAAAATAATAATATTTTATCGTTTTCCATTCAACTTCCATTCAATGTCAAGAAATAATCAAATTAACGACACGTTGAGTAGGAACAGTGGCGATTTGTGAAATGATTAAAAATAATTCTAATTGGGTAGGTGTATAATTTGAAATTATAAATTTAATAGTGTATCTTTTAGTTAATACGGATTACTTACAATTAACATGAGTTCTAAAAATCTAAAAATCGTGGAACACTCGTGTAAAGCACTCGAATGTTGCGTCGGCTGGATATAATGTAACGTTTATGTTAAATAGAGAGATCACTAATCCGCCCGAATCCGGGATTAGTGTAATGTCCGAGATAAGCCGAGAATTCATAAAATAACACCATACGATAAAATAGTGAATATAGAAGTTAGAGAAATGTTTGCAATAGAAATTTCTTTTTCGTAGAAAAACTTGCGGTCAACTCGATGTGAAGCAAAATAATATCTTTTTTACCAGTATTCTATATAAAGATCTTATTTGCGACATTAATCACGAAAGCGGAATCATAAAACTAAATGATAAGAAGAATGCAAACATGCAAGGGAGTAATTATCGGAAGCCTAATAAAAACTTAAGTTGATTCACGTGCGGCTGTCACATGAAAAATATTACCGTATGAGTGTTCTGAATTTAAATCTATGTAGGACGAAATTGGAGTGAACGCGGAGAAATTCATGGCGATGGTGAAGTGATTAACATCATTCACCCGACGGTGAATGATGTTAATCACTTTCAAACTGTCCGCGTTAAAGGTTTTACTACGCATTTATTCATTAATTCGCAAACGACTGATTTATTCGGGAATTAATAAATAAATATGGAATTGATGTTTTGTATCGAGCACGGTGTGTTTTATTTGTTTCGTAGAAATTTGCAATGCACACGATTAAATACAATACAGTCGTTTTTGTCGAACAATTAAATATTTGTTCGGATATTTTCTCCGTCAAACCTATCTGCATACGTATGTATGTCGCTACGGTGATGCGATCAGATCGATAAACTTTTCGTAAATCGGATTATTGGAGAAACACAAAATTGTTTAACCAATAAGACACGCGACTTTTTATTTTTTATACATTTTCTAACACATCTCGCGCACATCTGTGTGCCTGTGTGCAGGCAGATATCTCTACGTCCGTAATTGATGAAAATTTACTTCAAATTTCTTCGATTCAGCGAACGTCCGTCGATTTGTTACCTGAGCGAGACATCGATGTCAGGACTCGTGGGAGTCGAAGAAAAACGTACGGAAAAAGAACACCCTCGTACCAAAAATTACTTTCCGCATTGAACTTCGGCTGCATTACAAATAAGTCCGTTTCCTCTTGTAACAGTGCTTCAAAGTTTCGACTCGCGTAGACAAGGGATCCCGAGACATCGTAAGAGGAAACTCGTGGAATCGTTTCTAAGTTCGTACATACATGAACGAACGAAGAAAATTTTCCAAACGCTCGAAACAAAATATGTGTCTCGATTCAAAATGTTACATTATTAAAAGATCGAGTGTGATACAGATTAGATCTATTGCAAAGTTTGCGATAGAAAATATCGTATATGTATAAGAAAGAATAGTTAAAGAATAATAAGTATCGCGAATTATTTCTATATTATATCTAAAAGTAGCAACGGAATATTATTGTCATTTTGAAAAATTATTTAAATTTATTTTTATCAATCAAATATGAAAAATCTATTTAATAGATAAATAATATATCATATACAGATAAAGATTACTAAGATCGATAGATCAAAACGTTTTATGTAAAATGTGTAGATAAATAATATATGACAGATAAAGATTGCTAAAACAAAAAAATATTTAAAATATTTTATGTAAGGTCTGTATCTCCTAACTTTTTTTATCTCAAATAGATTTACGAGGAATGTCGCGCTTCATTATTTAAAAAAAAAAATAATTCTCAGAAACAAAATGCTTGAAATACGTGTCTTGGTACAAAAGTTACATTAAACGATCACGTGTTCAATATAAGATACATATATCTATTGCAAAATATGCAATAAAAATAATTTACAAGATGGAAAGAATAATCGAAGAATAGAAATATTTAACATTTATGTTATAGATAGATATTTATATCTAAAAATAGCAATACCAATTTCAAAAAATTATATAAACAATGTACTAAATAAAGTTGCTAAAATAAAGACTGAAATTGTTCATGTAAAATCGTAGTCTGAAACATGTAATTTTTTATCTCGAATGAACTTAAGAGAAATATCGCTTCATCGTTCCTGACAATAAAAGTTGATTTATAAACGAAGATAGAAAATTTTCTAAACAAAATATGTAATTCGGTACAAAACCTTAAATACGTTGTTAAACGATTAAATATTAAATATATGATACATATCTATTGCAAATGTACGATACGACTAAAAAAATATTTGACATTTTTGTAGATATTTATATTCAAAATTAGCAATGGCATTAGTATATTGTAAAATAATTTTAAAAATTATTTATTTTAATGAAATATGGTAAAGCTACATAATAAATAAATAATACACGAGATATAAAAAAAAGTTAAGATGTAGACTGAAATTGTTCATAAAATCGTAAAATCGTTGCATGTTTGCAACTCTTTTATCTTGAAAGAATTCACGTAGAATATCTTCTTCGAGTTAAATTGATTGAAAAGAATACAAAATATCAAGAAAGCTGCACAGAAGATAAATTTTTAATATTCTACAAAATAAATCGAAAATATTTTTTCACGTTATAACGGCACAAAAATTAATTTAATACAACGTACCTTTATGATGTTTGTTGAGGCTTATTACTTGACCATCTTCTCGTTTCCACATTAATTTCGGCGGCGGATATCCATCGGCCTTGCATGTGAGAGTAATATTCTGATGTTCTCGAACTGCTACGGTGCTTTCCGTAGAAAGGGAATCCAATATATTCGGTGGCACTGAAAGACACATAAAATTGCTTTCTTCATTCGGAGTTTAGTCTATAATGTTGTATAGTATATGATTAACGTTCGTTTTACATTCCTTTATTGTTGTTAAACATTCCTTCCAATGCAAATTTTATGTTTATTTCATATAATATATCATGAAAATTACTTTTTTAAATACATCGCGACAATTAAATACAATTAGATTTAATAAATTAAGTATTATATAATTTGAAATTAAATTAATTCAAAAGAAATATTTGATTATTAATATAAACTTTTAGACTAGTGACACATAAAAAAAATGTATGCAATACGCAAATTAATATTTTTTATTGATTACTAATTACGTTATTGCTATATATTCTCGACTGACTGTCGATTCGCTTACTTCTTACATCTTTTTTGCTTACGTTTTTATGTATGCCGTTAGCTTTAATGTGTTATGAACTTTTACGCCATCGCTCATCTTACTCAAAGTCACGTTGTAATTTATTATTATTAGAAAATGTAGAGGAGAAGGTCCAAATTTGGGCAATGTTTTAGTTTATAGCACTGTAATCTGATAACAAGAATATATTTAGATAATTTCGTTGAAGATGAAGTAGTGTGTCACATAGCTGCACTTAACGATTGCTTTTGAGACAAATATACATAATATTGCACATACTTATTAGTTTTTCAACCGTTAAAAATTTACGCAGGTATATGTTTCGCGGGATGTTTCATAATTCGCGCTTGAGAAGTACAAGACATGATACTTTATGCTAAAAGAAACAACTTTTTTTTTGCGAAATTCCGTCTCACAAATAGGTTTTGCAGGAGAACTTTTTGAAGTTAACGAATAAGCGCTCTGATCTATGTGACAGCCGGCATGCGCTCCTCGTTTACTTGTATCTAATCCTTGGCTATTCATAAGTAATATTTTAAGACACTAATACGGTTTTGTTATAATTGGTTTACGACTGCTTAACTCTTTGAAGGATAATAGAGCGTATATGTCCCACCTTTTTATCCTTAGTTTTGTTCATATTTTGCAGTTGATCTATTTTGCAGTTTTGTATGCGCATATGAGATTCTTAGAGATCTAAGTTATGCAACAATTAATATAAAAAAACTCGTTTCTTTCAGAATAAATTCGGCTATTTTTAAATATGAAGTGCTAAAGCTCTGAAAATTTTTATGCGTGTACTCTATATCTGAAACTATAATATATTTTTTTTCAGAATTTTTTGGTAGTTAGTTTTTCCAAAAAAAATTTTTGAAAATTGATCTTAGCCTAAAATATTGGATCCATTTGGAATTTTGTAATTCTGACATTCAGAATCGTAATCAGCGACCCCAAAAACTCTTGTATATTTAGTTTCATGTAAATTGAACAAAAAACTGTGAATTTAGCCTAAAATAGTCGCCATATTGGATCCGCCATTTTGAATTTTGTAATTCTAACATCAAAATAATAATCAGCGATCCCGAAAACCCCCATAGATGATTTGACCTATGATTTCAATAATTTGTTTAGAAGAAAAATGTACCCCTCAAAGGGTTATATCCATACTTAAGGCAGTTTTAAATTATAAGAATCAACTATGAATTTTGGAACATGATCTTCTGTATTGTATTGCTTAAAAAATGAAAGGGTAGCAGTCTGCTTTCACTTTTTACTAAATAAATTAGTACTAAATAATTACTAATAAATAAAAGAGTAAAAAAATTGTCTAATTTTGTAGATCTATCTAAAAGTAAAGACAAATATAAATAATAATATGTTGATGAGCTTTGTTAAATATTCTATTCTTTTAAATATTGCACAATTACATATGGCAGTTAAATATTATAGTATCACCGAACTTAAATATGTACGTAACCCTTAAATAGCTAAAAATAGATTTATTTTCAAAACAGTGATTAAAAATAAAATAAAATATTCGAGTTACGTTATTTTAAGAGCTAATTCTTTTTTTATTTTTACAATAAAAGATTAAGAGAGAATTAGCTCATACATATAAAAGATTTGTCCAAAATTATTAATTTAAAAATATTATTAATATAAAAATATTATGAATAATATTATTAATTTAAAAATATTATGATACTTACATAATCATATTTAAAATCTGAGTAACAATTGTATCGATATTTTTAAATCGTTTTTAAAACAATCATCAGAGTTAAAAGAATTTTAAAAAATTCCAAAGGGAAAAGAAAAAATTGTTTTGTATAAAAAAATAGATTTACATTTTTTAAATAAATAATTATTTTAAAATTATGCCCTTGATACATTGTAGATAAATGTTATAAAAATATTTTTAAAAAATTTTTTAATTTTTAGTAAACTTTAATAAACTTTTTTTATTATTTAAGTTTAGTGATATTATTTAACTACTTTACGCAATTGTGCAATATTTAAAAGAATAGAACGTTCACCAAGCGTATTATCATTTGTCTTATTTTCGGATAGATCTATGAAATTAGATTAATTCTTTTATTCATTTTATTATTACGTAAAAAATGAAAGCAATATTTATTTTGCTAACTTTTCATTTTTTAAGTACGTATACAATATGGAAGAAGATCAGTCCAGTAATCATAGATTCTTATAATTTAAGATTGACTTAAATATAGTCTTAAATAATCGTAAACTAATCATAACAAAGCCGTATCTTAAAATATTACTTATGAATACTAACCAAGGATTAGGTACACTAAAAGAAAAAATTGGCAAATTTTTAGTTGTGTTTAGCCTATCCGCAATGTCAGTATATGATTTCAATAGGTTAACACAACTAACAATTTTCTGCTACAATCAAAAACTGGTTGCTGCAGCCGATTAAAAATGCTATGCCATACTTTACTATCTAAATTGTTGCAGCAATCAATTTTTTCTTTCAGTACACAAGTAAATAAGGAGCGCGCGTCGGCCCTGAGTGCCACATAGATCAGAGCGCTTATTCGTTAACTTCAACTTGCTCTCCTGCAAAAACTACTTGTTAGACGCAATTTTGTAAAAAGAAAAAGTTGTTTTTTTTTTTAGCATAAAGTATCACTTCGCGAGCGCGAATTTTAAAACATCATGTATATATTTCATTTTTTTCAAGATATATACTTATTATTAATAAAATTGTTTATAAACTGTAAACAGGTTAAATATGGAGCATATTGAATTGAAGAGAAATAATACATTGTGTTTCTTATTGTAATTTAACTCCATGCATAATACGATGTTGCAAATATGGACTGCAGTAAACAATCAACTTGTTAATGGTCATAACTTGTACATTTTTTGATTGAAAGTTCTCAAATAACTATAGGAAAAAAGAATTATTGGTGCAAAGTTTAATGTGTTTTGTAGGCATATGTTGCTTGTGCAGAAACTAAGAAAAATTATTATACATGCGATTATTGTCGACAAAATAAATAAAAAATAAATTAATGATAATTATCTGTCAACATTATGTTCTACTTTGCTCTTTACAAGTGTGTATATTCTCATATATTATAGAGGTAGCCTATTTTTGCATCATCTTTAAAACAGCGATTTTTTTTTCTTTTTAGAAAACTTTTAATAATTCAAATTCTAATCAATGTATATACATATATATATATACAGAATATCCCGCAATTTTCTGCCAAATGCTTTTGTGTAGATAAAGCGAATTAAACGAAAAGGCTTGTTGAGTCCTATATTTTGCAATTTTCGTTATTGTTAACGAGATATTAATTATTAAATATTGCCGAATATATTGGTCGTTAATAATTTTTTACTCAAATACTGTCAACTTTACAGAAAAACAGCAAGAGACAAAAATTGCTTATTTTTTTCTCATGAAGTTCTGAGAATTTTTTCAAAATTTTTTAATACCATATTTTCTCATGTTTGTAAAAATAGTTGCTAATAAGAAAAAGTACAGTACTAAAAAGTTGATAAAAAATTTTGAAAAAATTCTTAGAGCTCTGAAAAGAAAATAAACAATTTTTATGTCTTGCTATTTTTCTGTAAGATTGATAGTATTTGAGTAAAAAATTATTGAATACTAATATTTGATAATTTTTAATAATTAATATCTCGTTTTACTATTATGAAGATTACAAAATGGTACAGGACTTTTTGACTCAGTTTAGTCTGCTCTATCTATACACAAAAATGTTTGGCAAAAATTGCAGGACTCTGTATATATATATACATTGATTAGAATTTGAATTATTAAAAGTTTTATAAAAAGAAAGAAAAATCGCTGTTTTTGTAAAGATGATACAAAAATAGATCTATATGAGTTATCCTCTTTACAAAATACACACTATTGTTGAAATATGTAGATACTTCACTAACTTCACTACACATGCTCTCGTCTGTAATAAGTAAACTGATATAAAAAAAATAAAGATGTAGCCCATACATAGACCTTTTTCTCTGTGTTTTATATGTAAATTATTTTGAGTAAGTTTAATTCAATTGAGTGAAAATAATTATTTACCAACGACTTGAAGAAAGCCCACTTGGCTTATCATTGGATTGGTATTTACTTGGCACATATAATAACCCCGGTCATCCTGTTGCACACTATTAATATGAAGCAGCCATGTTTTCTGATTGTCATGCGACACGGAAAACCTAGGTACTTTCACGACCACGTGCTTGTGAATAGTAAGCAGCATTTGGCGCCCAACGTGGATCCACGCCACCTGAAAATACAAAAGGAAAACAAATATTTAAAGATATTGTTAAATAACTTTATACTGAAAAAAAGTTTTAATTATGCCAATAGGATGAATGTAATATAGAATGTATTTTGGTCTAACAGAATTTCTACTATCATAATTGAATTCGATATTTAGAATTTTGACAGATTTAACTATATAAAGATTTGATTAGTATTTTTGATTGGATTTATATCTCTTCGAGTTACATTCATTAAACATTCTTTTCATTAAAAAATTGTACTAATCTAATTAAATGAATTTAGTATCATTTTAGTATATTTACCTAACAGAACAAAATTAGTTATTTGATAATTTCTAGAAGAATGCTATCATTTTTCTTATAGTCATAGGCACTAATGGAATCTGCCAGGTTTTCAACTAACGCGACCAGATTTTTTCCAGCGTATATATGTAATTATAATTACTATAAGTAAACTATGTCAAAATTATAATGCATTCTTAAGTCAAATAATTTATAAAATTTTTTTAAGTAAAATGAGATAAATTTTTTATTTATAACTTTTTATTAATATTATAAATTTAGCTACTATTTACATTTAATTAATCTCCTTTTCTTTCTTCTTTTTTTCTCTCTTTCTCCCTTTCTCCCACCCTCCTCTCTTTCTCTCTCTTAAGTTTGCGTTATATCAAGTTGCGTTATAAGTTTAATATTCCCATTTCATAAATAGCAAAAGTACCCACACACACACAAGTAGAATTGAGAAAGTTACTTTGTAAAAGTAACTAGTTAGAGAGAGTTTACGATTTTTTCGTTTAAAAAATATGCTTACTGTTGCAAGTTGCCGATTCTGAAAAGTACAATTATTTAAAAAATAACGAATCGTTTCTTTTCCGTTACCTTTCTGTTAATTTTTTTACAATTCTCTGCATTGCTATTTTAAATATAAGAATCTTATATATTTCTAACAGTAGTTTCTAAATTATTTATCATACTAAATTGAAATTCGATTATATGCTATGTGATTTATAATAAATTGACATATGCATTTGTAATCCAAATTACAGGATTAATATTAAGACGTTTTCACCAAAAGGATCTGCTATCTTAATTCTTATTACAGACATTAGCCTTAATACAGACATTCACGGAGTGTAATAATCAAAGATAAAGATGCAATCACTGATTGTTTACTAAACATTTCATTTGGCTAGCCCATGTATTGACGAATAAGTTTGGTATAAACTAAGTAATTATTAAATTAGTTATTACTTACCAAAAAATGCAAATAAATTAAATTACAGTTATGCATAGATAAAAAAAGAGGAATAAAGTTATTGAAGAAATTACAGATATTGAAGAAAAGTAATTCTGAAGGCGCCTTTAAATAATCCCGAGCGGAAATTTAAAATAAAGACATGCTTAATGTACAATCAGGCCTCAATAGGAAATGATAAGGTATGCCCTAATCGGGAATTTTCCATTTGGGCCTAATCAGGAAACGGTAGAGTATGCCCTAGTCGGAAATTCTCTATTTGAGCCTAATCATATAGTGGTAGAGTATAATGTCTTACGTACATGACAGATTTCCTAATCTATAAACAGTCGTTAACTTTATAATATCGCGCGGGATAGAATGACGTTTTTTTCTGCTAGATTCTTTCATTTCATATAAAAACGCATCTACTGAACATAATTTTGATTATTGGAGTTGAGGCTATTAAATTGAATAATTATAGCTTAATAATTTTGCTCAGTTGTATTTTTGTATATCAAGAGAAATTAATATACATATAGTGTATTCCATAGTAAATATAATAGTAACTGACTGGATGTTCAGTTAAACTGCACAAATTTCTATCAGGGTTGTATTGACCAGATATGTCACAACTAGACATTCATTAATATTCAGTGTTTGTGAGTCGAAGTTGTGATTCTTGTTTCGATTGCAAAGATCAAGCAATGGATATGTGATGCAACTTTCGAATGGGTGACTTTCAAAGTATATAATAAATATAAATAATACTCATAAAATTAATTCCCAGAGGAAATTTTTTTTAGAGGGTTTTCTTAAAATTATAATTTTATCGTGCATTATGGAATATGATGCTAATCAATAATACGGGGTTTAAACTTATTATATTAACTTGTGCTCGATCTTGCTGGAAGATGTGCACCTATAAAGAACCATGAAATGCCCTCTTGTTAACAAGTGAGTCAGCAAGTCCTATCTAGCATCTTAGTCGCGAATCCTGGGCAATTTGACCTTAGTCACAACAGATAGATGAGAAGCAAAATGCGAAACTCTGGCGCCTAAAACCGGAGAGAGGAATCCAGCTAAGGGAGACAATCCTGACAGAAAAATATCGGCCCGCCAGGATTGGTGGTGATTTATAAACAATGGACAAAACAATTACGGATGTTACTATCCTATCTAAGTGGCAATCCTATCTAAGCCGGGCAATGACCTGGAAAATCCACCCTCTGAGGAGGCCGACCACGGAAGCTTCTGGGGAAGGAGGAGGGGAGGGAAGAACAAACCCCGAAGTAAACGTTGTTTGCTAAGAATGCTTTTAGTAAGAGCTTGTTGATCTCTGATTAAAAAAGACTCAGTATAGTAAAATTGAGTTCTAAATTTCAAGCTTCCTTGGAATCTAGTTCCTTGGAACTGCGTTCTTCCTCGTTCAGTGAGATTTCTTCTAATGCAAGAAACAGCAAAGTCTCTGATATTTATATGAACTCATTCTACGTACCGATGGAGGATATTGTCTCATCTCATAGAACAAATAGTGTTTTGAAATATATGGCCAAAAAAGATCACGAAACAATCCTGATACATCTACAGGATACAGAAACAGGCTAAGCTAAGCAGCTGGCTTAGTACTCCGATACAAACCTTAGATTTGGAAATCTTGAGACTCCTTATGGAGTCTGTAGATAACAAAATACTCAATATAAAAACTCCAAAACCTCCGCCAATTTACATCGATCGTGTGAATAATATTAAACCATTAAGAATCTTGGTCAATGATGAAGTCAAGGAATAATATGAAACAAAAACCTTGTGAGCTGAAGAATGATGAAGTCGAAATCAGTTCTAAGACTTACTCAATCATTGTCAAAAAGCTTCAAAATAAAGGAACCGAATTCCTACAAGTTAAAATAGGAAAGAAATTTTTGTATCGTTCTAAAAAATTTTCACCCTTCAATCGATTTAGGTGAAATAAAATCAGCGATCGAGGCTCTGGATTATAGTGCAACAAATGCATGGAATATTAAGGACAAGAAGTGGCCCTTACCAAAAAGTGACCCTTATCCATGTATTATATTGATCTTAAACTAAATCCTAAGAATAAACAAATATACATATAATATTAAACATCTGTTAAACTGTCGCATAGTTTTGGAAACACCTAAACTTAAGAGACAGATATTCCAATGTGCTAATTGTCAAAGATATGGCCACATGCAAAGTTTTTGCTATCGTAATTTTAAATATAAATGTGCAGGTGATCACGCTACATCCAACTGCCCAAGGAAGAGTCCCTCCGATCAAGTAAAGTACGTTCTTTGTTCTGGAAATTACTCAGCAAATTATAAAAACTATAAAATTTTCAAAGAGTTGCAAAATAGGAGATATCCTATCCTTAGGGCAAGGAAAGAAAATGACCAGATTGCAGCGAAATCACCTAATTCCAATTGCGGAAGGTGCCGTTAACAGATTTAGAGAATCCAACTAATACAGATAAACCTTCTCTAAACTGCCCACAACTCAAAGCAATTAATAAGATTAACAAATTGTTACAATCCATGATGAGCCAATTGTTAACAGTCACAAAGTTGATTGCTGATCTAGTGACTAAAATTTCTTTAAATTCAATAGCCTAAAATTGACTCTCTGAAATGCCAATGAGCTGCTAAATCACATCGAGAAATTAAAGATTTTCCTCTATGTTCATAAAATTGACATTATGCTCTTATCCGAGACGCATTTTACTGAAAGAAATCATATAAAAATGCCATACTATTGTGCCTACTATACAAATCACTCTGATAGAATTATCCATTATGGAACTGCTGTTCTCATAAAAACCAACATAAAACATCATCAAGCCAATTCTTATCGTAGAGAACACATATAAGCAATAATAAACATCATTGTGGAAGATTGGATCAGCCCAATCACTATTTCTTCTGTTTACTGTCCGAAATACCACATTGTAAATGAACAGTTTTCTATTTTCCTTAAGACTCTCAGGAAACGATGGTGGTAACTCTCTATACATATCGATTGGGAAGAATATTGTTAAGGTTTCGGTAGTCTAAAGACTTAGGACGCTTGGATGAAATGCAAGAGATCCGGATTCGAATCAATCCAATCTTTCGGCCGAAGCAATATTTTTCGCAATAAGTTTATTACAGTTTTTCAAGATTAATTTGGGAAATTTGGGGGGATTATTAATATTTCAGATTGATTACGTTAAAAGTCCGGCAACCATATCGCAATTATCATTTCTGAAATTAAATAATTTATATGAATATAATAGTTCAACATCTTAATATTTAGACGTAGTGGCGCTTCGTATTTAAAGTAATGTAATTTCTTAATAATGGAAGGCTTATCCGGCAACTATATTGATTGCGAAACTTGTTTGGAATTATCATCCGATCATAATCCGTCCGTAAGCGCTTCTCCAATGCCGAGAATGTTCGAAAATGGGTGATTGGATCGCAAAAAATGACGAATTTTTTCAACATGGTATTCGTATGCTGCTTGAAAGATGGGCAAAGGTGATAGAAAATGATGGAAAATATTTTAACTAACATATATTATATTATTAATTTTATTTTAATAAAGAAAGTTGTTAAAAATG